AACGAGCGGTGGTATTCAAGGGGGAAGCTACGGATATTTCACGAATTTTGGTGAATTTTTATTAGTAATCTGATAGGCATTAAGCTACCGTAATATGACTTCATGTAGGCTTATGCTCTTAATGTCAAAATTAACTTCCAAACCCGAACATTTTTTAATAAAACAACGAGAAACAAAGAGTATGCAATGTAACCAACTTAATTTCAAATCCGTCTTCCATTTCATATTATTAAAAAAAAAACAACCGTATTACATTACAATACTATCCTCCCATCATGGCGAAATCCAGGTTTTTCATAATCCATATAATTGTGAATTATTAAAAAAAATTACGAACTAGACTTACTATGTCTGTTTGAACAACAGAACATTGGGCTTTTTTCCATTGCTTTAATGAGAAATGAAGTTGAAATTGCAACAGAAAGAAAAGTCGTTAAAAGGTATAAAGTAAAAAAAACACGGAAAACCAATATAATTTTAATGAAGTGGAAAAAAATGAAGTGGGGAAAAAAGTTTAGAAAATGCAACGAAAACCAAGTTCACTGCGACGTTATTAGTGGTGATTGCGAAGTACATTGTGACCCACAACCACTGCGTGCTATTGGCTGACTTCGCATAGGAAGGTATATTTTCAGTTCATAGCGATTCATTGAGTGAAAGCAAAATTGTTCATGCATATCACGGCAGTTTTGAGTTTAACCTAGCTGTAACTGGTTTTAGCGCTTTAAAAAACGCAAATTTCGTTTAAATAATTTAATCAATTGTCATAAAAAAAATCTTTAAATGGTCCTCATATCCACACCCTACTGCGGGTCGTCACCAAAATTGGATGATTTTTTTCATTTCACCATGAAAAACTAGTCTGCAAAGTGTCATTTTTGTCCATCTATAACTGAGACGTAAGGAATTTAAATGAGCCTCAAATTTACACCCTAACCTGGTTCGTCCCCTACACATATCTTCCATGTAACTTGGGTTAAACTTTCCCGAAAGTTTTATTCGGATCAGTTGACCCGTTTTTGAAATATCTGGTCTTGGACGTTTTTCTTTAAATGGTCTTCATATTCACACCCTACGCCAGATCATCACAAAAATTCATTCATTTATTTACTGGACCTTTACAAACTATTGTAGAAAGTTACATTTACACCCATTGAAAATTTTTTATAGATATTTACGTCTGGGATCTAAAAAAATTAAATGACCATCCAATGTACACCCTTGACTGATTCGTCGCCAAGACATAATACTATCTTCCTGGTAACTGGAATAAACTTTCCCAAAAGTTCCATTCATATCAGTTGATCCGTTTTGGAAATATGTGGTCTGGGACGTTTTCCTTTCAATAGTCCTCAGATCTACACCCTACTCCGGATAGTCACAAAAATGTAAACATTTCTTTACTCGACCTTGACAAACTGTTATACAAGGTTTAAATTATCCCCATTGACTTTTTTTTAAGAGATATTTAGGTCTGGGTCCTCAAAAATTGAAATGACCCTCCCATTTACACCCTTGACTGATTCGTCACCAGCACAATAATAATTTATTCCTTGCAACTTGGTTAAACCTTTTCTGAATGTTTCATTCCGATCAGTTAATTGATCTGTTTTCGAAATATGTGGTCTGGAACGTTTTCATTTAACTGGTCGTCAGATCCACACCATACTGCGGATCGTAAAAAATGTGCGGATGTAAAAAAATCATTTTTTTACAAGACCTTTACGAAGTGTTATAGAATTTTTCATTTATACCCATTGGTTTTTTATAAGAGATATTTAGGTCTGGCTCCTAAAAAATTTAAAAGACCCTCAAATTAACACCCTTCACTGGATCGTCATTAACACATAAAAATGTCTTCCTTGTAACTTGATTAAACTTTCCAGTAATTTTCATTCAGATCAACTGACTGATTTTTGAAATATCCGGTGTAGACTGTTTGAAATTAATTCACTTTAATTGGTCCTTACACGCACACCCCACCATAGATTGACACTAAATATTAGGAGGCACATCCTTGGTATATGGCCTATGCTTCGGCAAAGCACGGAATAATTCCAAGCATGGGAAGTGACCAAAGTGACAGCCAGAAAAAAAAACAGTGCAAAAAGATACGGAAAATATATGCAAGAAAAAAAGGGGAAAAATCAAAACAAAAACAATGGCTGTCACAATGGGATTGTGGACGAGGGTTATTTGTGTTCATACATATTTTTATATATATACTTTTATAGTCAAAATAGAGAATTGACAGTTACTTTTGTTCATATGTGCTTTTTATATCTTTTTATGCTGAAAGTTGTGTGGTATGACTGTTTGTATGTCCTGTGTGGACTGAATGGACATTGTAGTAGCACTAATAAAGTATGGGCCTGGTAGAGTAAAGCATCCTGTGTGGATCAGAGATTGTATGTATTATACTGTACATTATTATACAGTGAATATTATATTATTCATACCACCAATGTGCTGTCCAGCTACAAAAGTTATCATGTGTGGATTAAATTTATGGCTACCCTGTGTGGATCCGAAATAAATGCAGTATCTTGTGTGGATCAAAAAAATGAGTGCAGAATCCTATGTGAATCACAAATAAAAATGAAGTGTGCAGTATCCTGTGTGGATCTGAATGTGTGAACAGTACCCTGGACTGTTCGGTTCCAAGCAATAGGCTTGTCAGTTACGAGTAGCATGGGACAAACGACTAAGGCAGCGTCCCAGTACTGTGTCCTTTGAAAGCTAATTGCGAATTGTGCGTGCCATGAAAGGCGACATTAGATCGTGTTTGTCGTGGCAACATTAGATCGTATTTGCGACATTAGATCGTGTACGCGTCTTGTGGACTCAAAACAATCGGAACGAACAGTGTAGTAAGAGTTTTGTTTTATTTTCTTTATTGTGTAGTGTTTTTGGGGGGTTTTTTTCTAAATATTTGGTAGTTTATTTAATGTAGGCCTACCACCAAAAATCTAAGAAATAAAGGTACTTGTAGAAGAAACCATATGTCCTTCTTGAATTCGTTTTGTGACAATGGCTTTTCCCTATTACTGCTGGGAAAAGCCAATAAGAATAATGACTTACTGTAAATTGTAAGGCCACCAATTTGTGACATTATACTACGATAAAATTAAGAAAACGCAATATTATGTCACCGGGAACGTCACTGTACAAGCTGTGTTCAAAAGTGAAGTTCTAAATTTTGGAAATTTTGCCTGAAATCTGTAAATCACG